GTAACTAAAACAAAAGCTCAAAAATGTGTGCATATACACACCCAGATTAACGGATTTGTTTGCAAGTTAAATTTTGGAGGATTTATGTTTGTGCTCACACCATTTCTAAGAGTAATTTAGAGAAAACAATTGACACAACAGTCATGTTTTTGGACTGTGGGAGGAAACGTTTTCACAGAGAACATTTATTTGTTTACTTCGTTTAAGAATGAACACGTCACATGTTAAAGCAAACATAAGTTCTGAATGAAAGGAGTAGTTTGAAGAAAAAAAATCTTATATAGTCTACGCCTTTTCCCAGAAGTCAGTCTACTGCACCACAAACATCAACAACCATCCATATGGACACGTTTTAAATAGGAAATGTATATATATAAAGGCAACAATAAAGAAAAAGATCTCACACCCCTCTACAGAATCAACACACGTCATTATACCTTGAAAGAAAATTACATTTTATTAAAAGTAAAACTGACGTTTGTAAGTAAAACTGCATGAAAAAAACAACCTCAAACTCAGGAGATTCTTGCTGCAAGGCCAAAGTGCCACCGACTGCACCCATGCTGTAAACATTTCTATAAAAACACAAATGCAAGCGTTTTTCTTTCAAAGCTGCGCCACACATGTTCAAGGACTCAATCACTGCTGTGAGCTCCTTCAGTATCACACTCATAAATCTGGCTGGAAATGTGCTGATTGGCACCTTATGCTGCTTGTCGAACAGCAGAGCTTTGAGAAGCAGATTTTTTTATTATTATTTTTTTTAATTCAGAGTGAGACAGAAGAAAGAGGTATGAGTTTTTCTTCATTTACAAACAGTAACATGAGCACAAATTCCTCCTGTGGATTTATGACCTTTCAATAAAAATGAACCATGCTGGATCTTAAAATCATTCAGAACTAAAAAGACTCGACTCTCTCCCTCTTCAATAATTTCACAGCATAGTGGGAGGAAGACCTGAATTGCAATAATCTTGCTCGGCTTTCACTAAGGCTTTAAGCGTCGTCCTGGAAATAAAACAAGCACGGTTAATCTCTGCACAAAATGTAGATGCAAACGACCCAGTGACATTATGAAGGCTTTCTACCAAGAACTGAGTTATATAACCAAACTTTGACACTAATGTGTTCTTATGTAATGAGGGGGGAAAAAGAGAGGCCGGGTCCGGTTCTGCTGCTGGTGGTAAACAAATTCTTGAGTGAAACAGAGAAGAACGGAGATACCTGAGGAATTTACAGACGAGGAGTAAAACCATGCATAGAAAAGAAAAACAAACAATGGTTCTCAGTGTGAGCGCGAGCTTAACGGTTTTGTCGGAAACTGGAAATAATGAATGAAGATGTTGTACCTGTGTTTTAAGAGACGTAAATCAGATGGAGGACATGAAGTTCTGGTACTGAAATAACATCGGGTTTGTCCCTGTGTCTCTGGGGGTCTAAATTTGGAGACAGTGCAGGGGTCAGAGCGGAGAGGGCACCGTGGCTCTAGGTTCGCAGAAAGCTGATCCTGTGACAGAAACGGGGGGGCGGGGGGGGGGTTTCCTGTCTGCCATGGAGACTGTGTCTGTGAGGAAAGGAGTAAACGCCCCTTTGCCCCCTGTCAATCTGTACGCTCAACCAACCAGTCCGTGCTGGCCTCCAACCAGCCGCCCTCGGCGGCGAACGTCGAGCCGGTCTGAGCTGGTTTCTCCTCTCGGGGAATGCAACAAGTGACGCAGAACATCTGAGCGATCAACAGCATTCCTACATGTGAGTTCAGAGGGGACGCTGAGGAAGCTTCAGCTCTTCGGTCTGGAGTGTTTCCAGAATGCCAGCTTTCACTTTACAGACACGAAATAAACAAACTCATTGGAATTATTAAAAGGTTTCATGAAATTTGCTAATTGGAAGTGATGAATGTTTTCACTGGATAAAATAAACATGTATTTTGTTGTTGGTTATTAACCTTTTTATGTTTTCGTTCAGTTAGGATTTCCATAATTATTTTTGTTTCACTGAATATCAGAATGATGAGAATTTTTTTTTAAATTGCCCTCAAATTCAGAAGTTTATGTATATTTCCTTAGTATTTGGTATTTTCTTCAACTGTAGAGCATTATCTGCATAATGTTTTTCCTCATGACACTATTTATTTTGTAAAGTGCATAAGTTCCTCTAAAAGCAGAAAACAAATAAAATAAATTACATTAAAAAAATGCTTCACAGGTGGGATTGTGGTCTTATTTCTCAAAGCGTAAAAATTGATGTTATGGTCAAAGACTTAAATTTTATTCTTATTAGGTCACAGAAAATTTCTCCAAAAATGAAGGTCTTTGTCCCTGAGTTCAATTCCAAACTTAATCTTTTATTTATTTATTCTTATTTTTTGTGGCACTTTTGAAGTTTTGACTTCTTTTCTGTTTGATATTTCTGCTCATGTTAGCACAGATTTCACTCTGCATGATAAAAAATATATAAAAATAAACAGCATTGTTTAGTTTTGTAGTTCTCAAAAAAGGAGCTTAATTTGTGAATGTGTTCAAACTCAACTGTGTCTAAAACAAAATAAAGACATAAACTTTCTTCAAATCTCTCACTTTAAATTCTAATGTATTTAATTGCTCATGGTTTTTATTAAAAGCTTGTCTGCTCTTAACATAATTAATCAGGCTTCATCTCAGCAAGGTCACTTTCATTCTGTCATTAACAAAGCTCTAGCCTTAACAAATAAGAAAAAATAAAACATGCTTTGTGATATAACTCCTTTGAGTTGCATTGTAGAAAATACCTTTGAGCTTTGAAGTGCGACACTTTCTGAAAACTGATGGCGCCTTGAGTCATCTGACATTTAAGACTGCAGGAAAGTGTTCTCACCTCTGCTGAAAACTGTATTTATAATGTGTTGCACTAACGCTGGAGGAACAGCCGTGATGGAAAAGAATGTTTCCATGACTCTCAGTGCGATCCTGCTGCTTCTAGACGACTTAGAGAGACAACTGCAAGAAATGTTAATGAGATACACTTGATTAATTTATTGGTAGCAGTCTAAGTAGGAGTTTTTGTAGTTTGAAAGTGACTTACAACACAACACCAAGTAAGACAAAGCTCATAATTAGAGCTAATTTCAGTACTATATATGAATTTTGCTGCCTGTTAATGTGTGTTATGACAAGACAAAAATTAGTACTCCAGCTTTTCCCCATGAATTTATTGAGGGTTTTCTTGCACATTGAGTTTGTCATGTGTTTTGATTACAGTCAGACATTGTTGATGTTAAGAAACACTAGGAAACAAAACTTCATTTTTAATCAAGTTTAAAAAAATAAGTCAGGCTCAATTTTGAGAAAAATATTACACTAAAACTCAAAACTGAAAAATAAATTTTTAATTTATTAACAATTCATAGATTTACATTTTACATTTCAGATAAAATACATTTTATCTGAAATTCACACAGGTGTACTTTTGATTTCGTTTTTTGTCTGAGTTTTATCATTTCTTTATTCTTGTTTTGGTCTTATTCTGTGGAATTTGAGGTTATTATTATTATTATTATTATTATTATTATTATTATTATGTTACAAAGTATTTTCAGACAGTAAATAAAATTGATTTTGATTCTGAACATGCACGAAACGTCAGTAATACTTCCAGTATCCTGTAGAGGGCGACAGCAGGTAGCCCACAGGAAGCTGGAGAGCAGTCTATCGTTTCAATTGAATCTGATTTAGCAATTTATTTTTATTTAATGCTTTTGTTCACCGTTTAACAGTTTCCCTTTTTGTAAGGTAATGAATTTAAGAAGGTTAAATTATAGCTTCATTATTGAAGTTTATTTCTGACCGGTTTAGGAGAGTACAAGTTTTCCTTTTAACATTCTTAAATTCAATTAAATACTTTAAAGTTCAGGTGGATAAAAAAAGACAATATGTCAGCAGTTTGTGGCAGGGTCAAAACATTTTTATCATCTTAGACTAATATTGTATCATCCAATACATATTTTGCATTTACATTATGTACCTGTATCTCTTCTTGGTTGTTTGCTGCACTTGATAATATTTACTATTTATCTGAGTGTGATTTTTTTTTCTCATGAAGGCATCTACTGAATAAAATATCACCCAATTTCCATGTTCCTGCTGCAGGAAATAATCTTCACAGGATGATACTGCCACGTTGTGAATAAAATATAAAAAGCAGTATTTTATCTCTTATACTCATCTTAAAGTTTTTTAAATTACACATAAGTGAACTCTGTTAGTTTTTAAGTGTGAAGACTTTTCACAAGGCACTGCTGTGATATTCTACAAAATAACACTGAACAGCATTTAATCAGCTTAATGGATTTTATCAGGGGTCATTAAGCCATAATTGATTCTCTCACATACAAATACATTAATAATCTATTACAGGATGCCAATTTTTCTGGAGCATAGACATAAACTTTTAACGCACATACATTCATACACACATTATGGAAACTTATAAGGGGCTCCATTAGTGCCAAAATGTATTTATGAATTATATATGTAAGGTGTTCATGTAGCGTGATTATACAATCTACCTCTTTTTCAAGAGGCAGTAACAAAAACAAACAAAATAAATTGTTAAAATAAAATGCCAAGCTATATAAAAAACACAAGCATCATACAATCGACCTCAAGAACTTTTTAGATTTAGGTTAAAACCACTAAATGAGATGAGTTCAGCCAATCTAAAAGTTTCTTGAAACAAGATCCATGAAGAGGAATATTTATTAAGCCCCTTTCACAGGCAAAGCCATCGCTAACGCTGCATAGAAAACCAACAACATAAATATTAAGATAAAATAATGCACAATAAAAATTAAAAACATGCACCAGGAAGCCTGTTTAACAAAAAAGGGGAGAAAATGCACAAAATGTACTTGTTTATATGAGAGGTACAAAGCATTTGAAGGTAGTATATAAGACATAAAACATCTGTGAACGAGATGAAATGCATGCGAAGTAAATGCATATAAGACGTAAAATACACTTTTGTGAAAGATCAAATTTATGTATGAAAAAGGAAAAATGCGTCTTAGACGTTTCTCTACACAGGCTGTACTTTCTAAGCGTTTCTCGGTCGCGCGCTCTCTGGAGGTGTCGCGCACCGGGAGCGCGCTCTGCTTAGGGGCGGGGCCGCGCGGAGTCACCGCAGCCAGGGATGTGAAACTTGTCCCGGATATTTACCTAACTCTACCTGGCCTTTCCGACGCGCCCCGTCCCGAGCTCCTCGCAGCGGACACTCTGAAGGATATTACCCCGCTCTCTGACGCCACACCGCCGAGGTAGTACCGCTTAACTCGACTGTCTTATCGCATTTTCTTTCTCTTCCCAGAAGAAACGTGAACTTGGCCGGAGCTGTTGTAGCGAGCCCCGCCGTGGTTGGAGGAAAGTTTGTCGGCGGAGCTTTCCTGGCCGTCTGGGTGTAGCTGTAGGGGAGTCGGGGTTGTTAACAGGTTCCTTGTTCGCGCTGTGGCTCAAAGTACAGCGAGGTTACAGCACAGTTCATTATCTGGAAACTGAAATATGGGCCTGAAACTCTCAGATCCACCCTGTTTACTGGCTGACATGTAAAATAAAACAGCCCAAGCTCAGGATTTTATTCTTACAAAGTGGTTTTACGCGTTTAACTACTTCAGAGGAAGTTAAATGTTTTTATTTATTTATTTATTTTTTTATAAACTAAAGCTGGAAGATTTGTTTGTTAAATTTGGACAATCTTCACCTCCTCATAACTAGATGCAAAGCAGCCAGTGAGATCCTAATCTCCCCATAATAACCAACTTCCTTCATAATGTACTTGTAAATTCATTAGCTGGCCGCCTGCGAGCGGGTTATTGTGGAAAACAAGCCACCCGACTGGGACCAGCTCAGTTTTAATATATTCAGTGTGTGTCCCTGTGTTCAAACATTAACCCAGACCTTGTGTGTGTGTGTGTGTGTGTGTGTGTGTTTCTTTCAGAAAGTGTGCTGAGAGCCAGATCAACCCACCTGGAAATTCAAGACAGGACACATGTACGAGCATATGCATTCAGGGCTCAGACTTCAGGGCATGCGTTTGTAGTGAACGTGTTTATTATGTGCGTCCTTGTTCCCAGCAGAGCTGCTGCTGCTGCTGCTGCTGCTGGTAGTGATGGGGCGTGTTCAAATCTGAAAATGTTTAACATTCTTATCATTCAGCTGCTTTCGAAAGGCAGAGAGAGAGAGATGGAGAGAGAGAGAGAGACATGTTCAGGCCCAGGCCAAATAATAAGAGATTACACACAGTCAGTCACTCCTTTGCATTCACAGTGCATTACTCACTCCAGGCTGATGCTGCATCCAGCAGCATGTATTACTCACAGTGCAGTGTCATCCCCAGGGAGGCGCTTTCATTGGAAGGGCAGCAGCTTGGAAACATCTGACACTCTCTTGTGGTCATGTATGTGTATATGTGTGTGTGTGTGTGTGTCCAGGTCCCCTCTCGGCGGCGAGGCGAGGGCGGCGTGTTTGTCTTGAGAGGGAGGCAGGGGTTACCGTGGTAACAGACATGCCAAAGCCGGACCTGCTCTGCCTCGTTCAGCTGCTGGACGGCACCATCGAGACCTTCAGAGTCAGCGTACGTAACACGTGGAAACGCGCACTGATTCCTCCGTTGATGTCGGGTTACACCGGGCTCTGATCAGCCACGCTGGCACACTCTTCTTCTCTGCTTTTTTTTAATTAGTTTTTTTTCCTCTAATAGTCCACCACTTCCCCCTGTTTGAAGGACACACTCCTCTCCTGCTGCTCGCAGATGCTTATCACACTTTAGAGTAGGGGTGGGCGATATGGACTTTGATTTTTATCGCAATGTTTAAGGGTGAAGTTGTGATAATGATAAAAATGATGGTTAAAAAAACATGTATTACTTTTTTGGGTAACCGTATGGCAACGAAGCATTCACAAACACAAAATCACACAGTTACCACATTTAAACATGTTTCAAATTTTATATTGATTGATGCTCTTGTGGAACACACAGTAGAGAAAAGTTGGCTTTTTAAACATCATTAATTGGAACTAATCAAGGAAACAATAAATCTAAATTCTTACTGTGATAATTTTTTCATGATAAACAATACATTAAATGCCCACCCGTACTTTAGAGCCATATCTAATTTGCAGTATTTGCAGCATTGCCTCTTTAAGACAACCTCTTTCCATCATCCTTATCTGCTCTAGCCGGCCACTTTATTAGCTACGGTAGATCCTACTGGGATTCGTTCTTTGCTGTGTTTTTCCTTTGTGGTACCAATTCATCAAGGTGTCAGGAATATTGCTGAAGCAGTTTTGGTCCATATTGACACAAGAGCATCATGCAATTACCACAGATTGATCGTCTTCACATCCATCTTCAAATTCTTCGTTCCACAACATCCTAAAGGCGATGTAGTGAGTACAGCAAACTCATTGTCTTGCTCTGAGAAGTTGTTTGAGATTAGATTTGCTGGATGATAAATTGTCCCAGAAGTTATTGCGATAAACGAGAATATTCTTGTTCTGAGGCCATTTAAAGTAATATTATAGTAATGGCGTAATAATGCAAGAATAAATACCCTCTCGAAGATCAATAAACGTTAATAACTTTAACACTGGAACTGGAAGATGTTGCTAATATTCAAAATAAATAAACAAAACGCCTGAAACAACGAATAAAATGAGTTATAAAGTCTCTATAAACAAAACTAGCTGGCTTAGACTGATGCGCCACACAGAAGCTTTTTGTCGTTCAGTTTTTGGTAGAAAGACACGAGACAAAAACAGTCATTCAAATGATTGAGCTTATTGTATTTATCATGTTACAAATTGGTTTATTGCTTATTGCGAACACCGTATTTGAGACAAGCTGAGGTTTACGACACGTTGCATTAGAAGATGTGTACACTGTGATCATAAAGGGCCTGATATGGTCAGAAACATCACTGAGGCAGCCTGCAGTGTTTAAATAATGACCATTATCCTGAGCCTGAATCCTTGAGACAATGCAGAATGGAGCTACACGTTCATGTTTCTTCTGCTAAAATCTCACCTTACCATCTGAACTTTGCAACTGAAGTTGAAACTCGACATTATTTCAGTTTATTATTGTACAATTGTGGAGATTCTGCTTGAATTTCAGCCTCAGTTTCCTCTTATTAGCTAAAAGAAATGGCACCTGGTGTGGAGCGCTGCTGCTTCAGGCTTTGACTTCAGGAGACGATGTTCCTCATACCTTGATTTTAATAAGTGATCAGTTGAATTTCTGCCGTCTCCAGCCAGGCTCCTCTTTCTTCTCTGACCTCTGGATAATTTTCTGTAAACCCAGTAGATCGTTGGTGTCAAACTCATTTTCATTTTGGGCAAAATCAAAAATATGAATGTTCTTAAAGGGCCGGTTGTTCCAGAATATATTGATTAAACCCATTAAGTTGATAAAATATCAACAAATAGCTGTTTCGGCATTCAGTAAGTGTAATATTGAACATCTTTTCACACTGATCAGTCCATCAAGAACTGTGTGATTGTTTTTGTGTTTTTTGGGGGGATGGGGGGTTGCAATCAAAATCACAGATTTTGTGGTGATAATATATAAATATTTGTAAGAAATTTTTACAATATTTGCTCTAATGGATATTAAATGAGACTTTTTATTAATCGCTGAATCAGTCACAGATATAACTTGACATCAAGTAAGGCTGAGCTAGCAGTCACTTAATCCCAAAGTTTTTGGCCAGTTTTGAGAAAAAATTTCAGTAAAATCAGAAAATTGTGGGGATTTGTTGATTTTGTGTGAATTCTGCAGATTTGTGATAAACTGAATTGACTTATTGATGTAATTTGGAGTCAGGAGGGCCATATTAAAAGCTACGGCGTGCCAGATTTGGCCCCCGGACCTTTAGTTTGACACATGTGCAGTAATGGTTGGCCCTGAAAATCCCAGTAGCCGAGCAGTTTCTGAAAAACACAGACCAGGTCTTCTGGCACCAGCACTTAAATCCCCTTTCGATCCTGTTCTGACGTTCAGCACCAAGTCTAAATGCACTGAGCTGCTGCCATGTGAGTGACTGATTCATTATTTGTGTGACTAAGCAGATGAACATGTGCAACTAATGAAGTGGTAACTACAAGAGCAAGCTTTGTAGGGGTGCACAGTATTAGGAAAGCATGCAGTCATAGTGATATTTGTTGTGATAAATATATAGTTGTCAGAGAGTAAATGCATCACACTGGAAACATAGCTGCCCACTTAGAGTACTTACTTATAATATGGTTATGAAGTGTGAGAAGGACCTAAATCTTCATATTTTGTTCCTTTTCGTAAAGAAGACAGGATGCAGGGGGTTCTGTTACTACAGAAACGCGACTCTGTTGTGTTTTCTGCAGTCAGAATATTGTGTTTGCTGTATTTTATATTGAACAAGGTCACCCTGACATGAGAGTCTTCTTCCTGTAACAGAGAGTCTGAGGAAAGACAAGAGGAGGATGTAGATGAGCTGTGGGTTATCTCTCAGAGCGATGAATGAAACAGCTATTACAGTAAAGCAATTTGCTCCTTATGGCCATTTGGAAATCAGATTTCAGCCTGGATGTGTGTCATCTACTTACTTCCTTTTATTCTCCAAATGTAATAATTGTGTCAATTTATATTAGTTCAGTCTTAATTCAACTTCCCTGTCTGTTTATGCTGCATGAGATCCCTGTAAATCTCACTACATGGTTCAGTACAAAGAGTTTTGATAAAAAAATTAAGATAAATTCAAGATGAATAAACTTGAGTTCTTTTAAGTGCCAATTGATTAAAAGAAAATCGTCCAGCTGAGATGCAGAATGTGACAGCAGAGGTGAGAGTCTTCATTTTTGGCCATTAATTAGAAAATTAAGGGCTGGCGTGTCCCTTCCTTTTACTTTTTTTCTAAAACCTTAACAACAGAAATGAAATTAAAGTTGCTTAGCTCAATGCCAAAGTAAATAAATATTCTACATTTTGGGCACCGTTTGTTTATTTCAAACACATTCACATTCATACAGGAGGTAGAGAAAAGTATAAACTCATTTGATTCTTTTATTTGTAGCTTTCCATACACATCATCAACATGAACAGAAAAGCAGCATTTCTTTCGCAAGAAGCATAAAATATGCAAACAGTTTCTTTCAATCAACATGAAAGCAAGGTCAGACTGAGAAACTCATCAATAAATCATGTTTTATTCAAATTTCCTGATTTCTTTCAAATAAGGAAAGCAAAACAAAAGAGCTGTTGGTGAATGTTATGTAGCAGGTGGAAAATACTCTGAATAGTAAAGGTTGCTGATCAAAAACTCGGGAGCTTGTCAGAAATAAAAAGCAGATCCTGCTTCACGTATCATTTCCATCTCAAATTGTTTGCTCTAAACCTAAACCTCCTCTAACTTAAACCCAACTTTGAGCTTCCTGTATGCAGTCACAAGTCGGATAACTCGTTTTTTTCTGAGGGAAAAGCTTGATGCTTAAACCAGAAGGGTTTTCAGGCTGTGGGGCCTCAGAGAGGTGTTAACAGGGAGCAGCTTCAGATCACTGAGCAGCAACAGTGCAGTTTGCACAACCGTGCAAGCATCTTGAGTCTTTCCTCACTTCGTCATGTTTTCTCCCCAGAAACCAGACTTTCCTGCTTTCTGAAGGTCTTCAGAGGTTTTTCTCTGGACTGCTTTATTTACTCCATTTTTAGTGCCAGTGCCTCACCATTTATAAGTATTTTCTTTCTTTTTTTTTCTAGCCAAGCTGTTTAAATCTTTCTATTTTATTCGCTTTACCTACTAAACATAAGAAATTAACCAGAATTGTGACTACACATGAGGTAAAACTAGCCTGTGAACCAGATTGGACCTTCGCCTATAACTAAAGTTTAAACTTTAATGTGGTTTCCTAAAATGCCTTACCTCTTTTTTTACTTTTAAAAACAAAATCTTGTTTCTCAGAATACACATTACATCCTTAAGATGTATCGAAGTGTATTCCCCAAGAGTTTCCTATGAGAAATGAAATAAAAATTATTTTTCTATGTATGCCTGAAGGTGGCGGGGGGAAGAAAAATTAATTTGGAGGAATAAAGTGCCTTTCAAAAAGTATTCACAGTCCATATAACTTCTAATTTTCGTTTTTTTGGGGTTTTTTAAGTGATCAAACAACATGAAGTAGAAAAGAAAACTGGCCAAGAACAAAACCTTTTTAGAGGCTCAAAAAGAGTCTTTTTTCACCTTTCAGCAGGACAACAACCTCAGACTTACAGCCAGAGCTACAGTGGCCGTGTTAGAATGGTCTAGTCAAAGTTAAAAGGCCCAATGTTTACATTGACTTTATCAAATTGGGCTGATGTTGAGATGTTTTGTGTCAAATAATGGGCAAACATTTCAACCTCTAGATGTGTAGAGTTTGTAGAGATTTACACCAAAAGACCTGCAGCTGTACTTGCAGAGAAAGATGCTTCTATAAGTATTAACTCAGATAAATACAAATACCACAGATTTCAGATCTTAATTAAAATACTTGAAACCATTTTAAATTTATGCACCACTTTTTGTTGGTCTGTCACATAAAATCCCAGTAAATTAATTAAATTTTGTTTTTTTTAATGATACAAAATGTGAGAAGTTTGAAGTTTGTATATAAGCTCCTTCTTGGCAGAAAACTCCCACGTTTTTGTCAAGAACCTGCAGAACTCCAGTCTGACGTTTTATTAGCGTGCACAAAATGAGCAACCAGGAAGTCTGGCTGACTTTTGATGCCAGTTTGCTGCTTCCATCTTTCAGAAGCAGGATGAAGGCTTGGTTCTGTTGGACCTGGTATCCAGCCACCTGGGCCTGCAGGAGAAGCAGCTCTTCAGTCTTCAGATCAGAGAGTCGAGCACCGCCATCGCCTCCATTGCAGCCAACACGCTCTCTCCCGTGAGCTCACACTTCATCTGCTGCACATTTGCTCTAAGTCTGTAATGTGTTTCTCCGGCCGGTTGCAGTCGGTGATAACCGTGGGGCGTGTTTACATAAATGTTATTTGTTATAGCCTCAGATGGCTATTAGGGCTGATGAATGCTTTTCTTTTTGCAGCGATGGTTAGAGCCAGAGAAGTCCTTCAAGAAGCAGATAAAAGGTATCATTTGTTGGTGAAATTTCTGAGTTCAGCAGAAAACTGGGTTGTAGTTGTGGTTAAATATAGATACAGGCCTGTTTTAAGCAATTTGGTTGTTTCTGCAGGTCTTGCCTCCCCCTTTTATCTGAACTTCAGAGTGCGGTTCTTCATCTCTGATCCCAACTCTCTGCAGCATGAGCAGACCAGGTCAGTACTTCTCTATCATGATAATCCAGCTCCATGTCAATGTGAACTGTTAACATTTTATAACAATCAAACTGTTTTGTTCACATCTTGATGGGAAACTTCTAAGCTGCTCATAAATATAACTGATTGAATAATTGTTGAAATTGCCGAAGCTTCAGTATTTAGTAAATAAACCTTGTCAGCTGCACTTAAGCAATGACTCTTCAGGTTTTTGTTACTATGAATAGTCAAATAAGTATGAATGTTTCCTTTTAAAAGTTGAACATTTCTTCAAATTTTAAAGTGTAAAAACAGTAAAATAAGGGTCCAAACTGGTATGACGGAAGGCTTTTCCTAAATTTTGTCCGTTCTTCCAGAACAAGATTTAAATTTCTGTCAGATCAGATGTTTTAGAGTCGCCATCCATTCTCGTTTTGGTGTTTTTCCATGTAGGGTGTGTCATTTTCCTCCTAAATTTGTTTAGCTGAACTCACTCTTTCTTATTTTAGTGAATTGTTCCCTTTGCCTCCAGCTCTTACACCAGCCTGAGGCGTTACTGAAAAACTCTCTGATTGTGGGTTTATGAAGTTCAGACATTTAAAAAAAAAAACATATTTGCACACTTTTATTTTTATGTCATGCTTCAGTTTAAAGGGATTGTTGGAAAAGCTTGCAGCAGGCTTTGCTTTCTGATTTGTTTGAGATTACACAGTAAAGGTTTCTTTATGAAGCCTTGATATGCTGCTTTTTTTTTAACAGGTTTAGCTTTTTCCTTTGAGCTTTTCTAGCTTCATTGTTTCACACTTTTTCTTTTTACTAGTTTCCTGATTTATGTCTCAACTTCTGCTTTTGGCTTTTTATATCCTGAAGCATTTTGTTTGTCTTTGTGAGCATCAGTTTTTATCCTCTGACGGTTGGACAGCTGCATCATTTGATGTCGTGCCAAATCTGTGCAAACTAAGAAGCTAATCAGGGCGTTTGATGAATTTTAATTAAAATGCTTGGATCCCAAGGGCGATGGCATAAAGTAGAAATAAAATAATGTGCCACTTTTAAATTAAGAGAAATGAATGAACATTTGAGGTCATATTTTACCATTTTAACCGCTTATGGAACATTTCCAATTCAGGAATGTTTCCCAGGAATCGGGATAGTTTTCTGGAGACTCATTTAAACGATTGAAATTACAGTAAGGATGAAAAACTGGGTTTCTATAATCTAGAGGTTTTATTCTACTTTGATTATTGGAGTGATGTGGAAACAAACTCTAATTAAGAAAATAGTTTTTGAGTTTTACTGTAAAATTATTTGTTTATTCAGTTCATACAGAAAGGAGGAAAATAGTTGTCTTATTTATTGTTAAAGGTAACAGGAACCAGTTAGTATCAGCAGGTCAAACCTTTACAGAGTGGAAGATCAGAAATCAGCCACAATCTCTCTGATTTGTGCATTTGTATTTACAAATTTCCTTGATATTTGTATGTTTTAATGTTCATTTCAGATTGTAGCCTCTGTGAATATATCAGAAGTTGTGACTGTAAAGCACCAGATAATAATCCAGACCAGGTCTCCTGTTTATCTCTGTTCTCTGCCTCCAAAGTAGCAACATGAATGTAGTAAAGGTTGGATGTTTTTACTCATGTTTTAGAATACTACCCTGTAAGTTAAATCATAAATTAATGACTTGTCTGCCTCTGTTCCTGCCAGAGGCGCTGCTGTCTCCTCTGCTGAATGAAGATCAGACTTAGATGATTAAATGTTGTTGTAAACATGAACTAGTTTGCTATTCCAGTTTGCAGCTGGTAGTTAACCAGGTAGCAGGTTATAATGCACTCACTGGTTTCATTACCTTCTGTCTGAGTGTCTGCAATGGGGAAAATAAACATCAAACTGGAGAATAAGGATGCTGAAACTTTATTTTCACTTTTGGTATGTTTTCATTCTGTTGGAAAACTAAAATGTCTTTCCTTTCAGAGCACCCTGATTGTTTTGTTGAGAAACTACTTCCATTGACATTCTTGTTATAATTGAGGCGTTTTATCAGAGCCACAAACCATTTCTCCCTGGAGATATTAAAAGTCTGCAGAAAACATCCCTCGCTTTCTGTCAATACTTGTCTAAACGTTTCGGTGTGGTTGTGTCCTCTGAAGCCTGAGCCGCCGGTGTGTCTAACAAACACCAGCATGTGAAAGAGACGCTTTTTCAGGGTATGGAAAACAGGCGTGGGTTGATAAAGTTCCTCTTTTGTCGCCTCTGCAGGCACCTGTACTTCCTCCAGATCAGGAGCGACATCAGGGAAGGACGGTCAGTTGTCCCGCTTCACATCGAGCGCCTCCTCCTCTCTTTCTCCTCCTCCTCCTCCTCCTCCTCGGCGCTCAGTATTTGTTTAGCTGTGGAGCGTGCGATGTGTAATCACGGTGTCTGATTGCAGGTTGCAGTGCCCGCTGAGTGCAGCTGTAGTGCTGGCTTCTTATGCTGTGCAGTGTGAGTCCCGTCTCTCCTCTAAAAGAGAAAATGAGATGATTAATGAGGCAATGATAGCTGCTTGAGTAATTACTCCTGGGAAGCTGCTCTCAGTGCTTTTATTTAGCAGCTTTCTTTCACTAGCGAGACGTTGGGATACACAGGTGTGTGCAGGCGGGGTTTTATGTCTCCCTGTGGGATGCTCAGTGTTTGTTTCCATCACCTGCAGCGGAGATGGGGGATCACTGTCCGTCCAGACAGCCGGGGTACCTCTCGAAATGCCACTTCATTCCCGAACAGGACGAAGACTTTGTGTCTAAAGTGGAAGACCTGCATCCGCAGCACAAGTGAGTTTAGTGCCTGTAGTTGAAAAGAACAGCAGGTTTGTTGCACAATTCCTGTTGTGGTATGTGTCTGCGTGTGTGTTCCTAGGGGGCTTAAGCAGAGTGAGGCGGAGCTGTGTTTTCTCAACACTGCACGGACGCTGGAGCTGTACGGAGTGGAGCTGCATGCTGCCACGGTAATGTTGTTACTTTAATTATGCCGTGGCTTAGTAAGCACACCTTCTTGTTTTCTTACGTTAATAAATAAGAGGAGGGTTTTCCTGTTTGATTCATCGCCAAAGCTTCACCAATTAAACAAAAGCTTTTGGTTTATCGTCCAAGAACTTTGGCACTTAATGAAAACTCCTTGAATTATTTGACAACAATTAAAAACTGAAGCTAAAGCAATTTTTAATCTCAATATGACCCATCCTTCTGTCTCTCAGGACACCAACAATACGCCTCTAATGGTGGGTTTGGCCTCCAGTGGTGTTGCAATGTTCTGCAATATGATTTGCTCCAGTTTCTTCCCCTGGTGAGTAACTCCGCCGCTCAACATTCAGCTTGTTTTCGCATTTCCTTCCAGTAAATCTGACGCTTTTCATGCAGGGGGAACATCATCAAGATATCTTATAAGAGGAGACGCTTCGTTGTACACCTGAAACGCAAACATGTGAGTCTCTGGCTTCGTGAAAACGTTTCTGCTGGTTCAAAGATACGATCAGAGTGAACGGAGTTGTTTCTGTGTGTTTAAAAATCCATTGTTCATGTATGGAAAATGGACTAAAATGCAGTTCGTGGTTCCTGCACAGTTTGTGAAAAGTTCTGACTTATTTCAGGTCTGAATAAGTTTGAAAAATTACAAAAATTGACAAATATTTGTATTTACAGACTTTATTCCCCAACATGTAGGCATAGAGATCTGCCTGTCCACCAGACATCCATCTTTTTGTCCATTTATCCATCCATTTATTCATTCATTTGTCCATTTGTTCAATAGAGGGCTGCAGCTAACAAATATGTTAGTAATTGATTATTCTGATGATTAACCGGATACAAAAGTGGCACATTTTACTGGTTTTTCATTTCATCACATAAGCTCTTTTGTTAAACATGAAATAAACATTTAATTGCTTAAAAATGCAATAACATAACATTCCTTTGCATTTGAACCAAGTGAAGTTAACACTGTGACACTTGAGGAGTTTGGGCTTGGATATATTATATCTTGAATCCAAAATGTTTATTTACTTTTGTACTGCTTGTTACTGCTTTGAATATATTATTTTTTAAGCAAATGTCCTTTTTTGAGTCTGTAAACTCCAGTTAACTGTTAATCGATTGCTAAATTAGTTCACAGTTATTTCAATAATCGATTAATCATGATTAATTATGATTAATTATGATTAATTGATTCAACCCAAATCCGTTATTCTTTTGTCTTTCCATCAGTCTCTCAGAGTGTCTTCAGAGAATATGATGTCTTAACATGAAAAACACGTTGAACCATGTTGTCTTTTATTTGCAGCAAACTTATCTTCTGTTGCAAAACAGAGACGATGTGAAAAGACCCTTAACTCTTTGAGTTGCAGGGGGAAACCCAAGACTGTGAGGTGTCTCTAAACCTGCCCTGCCCCAAGACGTGTAAGAACTTATGGCGGTCCTGTGTGGATCACCACTCCTTCTTCTCCTCCAGCCGGACTGCCAGGAGCCCCAAATACAACAACAGCACGGTTAAGGGCTACAAGCAGCTCATAACGCAGCACCTGGGCCTGAGCAACAGTAAAACTGAGGAGTGAGCTTTCGATGCATCCCACATATTCGCTTGTTTTGCCCTTGAAATCTGCTGCTTTCTGAACATTCGACTCTGTCGTGACAGAGGTCCGGTGTGCCAGAGGGTCGTAGGGGGGATGGTGTGGAACCCGGTTCTGCAGAGGTCTATTTCATCAGAGCATCTCGAGACCAAGAGTCTGCCCTCCAGATCGCCGCCATCAACCCCCAACTGGTAAAACTGCTGCTACTAACTGCAGCGGAGATTTTCTCTAAACTAAAAATAAACAAAAAAAAAGGCTCAAGCTACACATCCGATGTGTTGGTGCGGCAGGAGAAGTCCCCGAGTTCGCCATGAGATCAGAAAGCCTCGTCCGTCATCGGTAGAGCTCAGCACGGACCTGAAAGACATGTCAGAGGGGGAGGACGTCTTCTACACGTACAGGGCCTCTGTGGGCAGCAGCAAGGACAGCGAAGGAGACGCATCGTCTCATCGGTCAGTAACGCAGGAGCCCATGTTCCTGTGTTCACGTCTTTGTTGGGATTTTATGTCTTAGACTCCACAAGCTAAGGATGTTTCTAAGGATGCACCGATTGCCGATCACCAATCTTTAAAAAGCCTGTCCAGCCGATTTCGATTCTCTCTGATAGCAATTTTTGTTTGTCTGAAATGTTGCTGAATGTGGCAAGAAAGTTGCTGAGCTGGAAACAATGAGGTGATTGTTGCTTTTTGCAAATGTGCAGACATGATATGGTTGCTGAGGTCGATAAGATCCATAGATAAGACTGGCTTCCCCAAAATGAAGGAAATCGGTCGGTTTCTATTCATTTCTAAATGAAAATATTAGAAAAGGCAGATTTACATTTGTTTTCACTCTTCTGTTGATCAGTACTGCTAAATAAATTGGTCAAAGCGACCAATCACTGCAGAATTCACTTAATTAGTAAACATCATTTAATATTTATATCAATATTACACAGCCTTCCTCTGAAAATGCCAACAAACAAACGGCATCATGAAAACCAAGGAATGCAGCAGAAATGCTAAAGAAGTTGCTCTAGTCAGATCAGATCTTACATACAAAACTTGACTGATGGAAAAACTGCACCCTGAACTCACCATCCCCACTGAGAAACATGGTGCTGGCAGCATCATGCTGTGGAGATGCTTTTGTTCCGCAGAGGCAGTGAAGCTGGTCAGATAGAGACACAAACTTATTTTGTAATTTTTAAAAAACATATAAATCCTGCTTAGTTCCTTGGATTGGAGTTCACCATTTCTGATAACTGTGCAGTATTTTATGTTCTAGTCTTTACTGTACAGTATGTTTTTAGTCTTGATGTTTATATATTTTTAATGCTTTCTGTGAACGTACATGCCTATTCCGAATAGCTAAAATCATGTGTTTCTAACGGCCTAGTCAAAGTCCAGGCGAAATTCTGTCGAGAATCTGTAGAAAAATAGAGATATTGCCATTCACAAATGCGCTCAATCTGACTGATCTTGGGTTATTTTGTAAAAAAAAAAAAAAAAAGTAGAGACAGACCCCTAAAGACTAGCAGCAGTAACCGCTCTCCATTTTTCTTCAGATTTTATGGGTGAAATATTTGAAAACCATGTTTTATTTTTTATCTTTAACATAAAGTAACAATAAAATACATCGAGGCTTGTGACTGAAACATAAGAAATTGTTCAGGGGGATAGGAGTGTTTTTTGTTGTTTTTTTTTCCAGAGGACTGAAGTTAAAATCAGCTGACCTGTAATGAACCATGTAGCCGCAGAGTCATTTTTAATATTTTATGTCTTCCAGCTTTTCTGCTCCTAACAGTCAAGGATCTGGTGAGGGTTTGTTGCAAGCTGAAGACAGCATCGGGGAAGAAGACAGCCCGTTCCACAACAATAAGGTTTTTCTTTTTCACCTCGGCACTTTCTGATTTCTGAGTTTTCCCTTCACTCTTCACATTCATGACAAGTTCTTCGTGCAGGATGCTCTTGGTGACGGCGACCTGATGCTGATATGCATCACTCCAGACCACGAGGGGAAATTTGGCTTTAATGTGAAAGTACGTCTCTGTCTTCCTTGCATGCTGCATATACATTTTTTATGATTATTTGTTCCTCTGATGAAATTGTTGAACTCCTCTCAGGGTGGAGTGGATCAGAAGATGCCTCTGTCCATATCTCACGTTAAACCGGACTCCCCGGTAAGAACATTCCGGAATAATTATGTTTTTCAAGCTTTGTTACAAAAACAGTGGACAAATGGTAGCATATGGTTTTTATTTTCGGTTGTATTATGCATATTTTTGCAAAAATACCGCAAAACAAGAGATTCTTTTGGAAAGTCTTTAAAGTTTCCTCTTTGTATGGATTGGAAAAAGTTATAAAACCATTCAGACTCAAACCACATCTCACTCAGATAAATTGTGTCCAACTGGAGGGAATTCAAGGCCATTGTTGCTCTCCTGAGGAGTCTCCGGCCAGCAAAGATCACTGCTGTGCAATTTGCTGCAAGGTCAAAGAATAATCCAGGATTACGTCTAAGAAACCAAAGAGCTCTCTCACATTCTGTAATGTTAATGTCTGGCTCTACAATCAGCAAATCGCTGAACAACAACTTTCTGTGTGAAAGTGATAGAGGACGAAAGCAACGGCGCTACGGGGGTGAAACAATGTTGCCCTTTCTTTAGCTTGTCTAAAATGTTTGTCCATACACAGAAAATATTTTGTAGAATTAAATGTTTCATAAGAGTTGATATTGATTATTATTGATTTTTTTTGTTTGTTTTATGTCTCTGCACTACTTTCAAGCTCATGGTGTGACTTTTCCTGTTTTTTCCACAGTTTTTACTCCACGCCGTTATTTATTGTTACTGCTTGTTACTGCCTTTGATACACAGAGGCCAAACCTTAAACTGCTGCTGCATCAGTTACTCTACAGGTTGTTGCTAGGTAACCACAAGTTGCCCAGCAAGTTGTTGCTAGGTAACCAAAGAGTGAGTGAGTTTGTTGGTTAACGCCACCATCCTTTCTTTCAGCTGGCCGAGAGATGTTGAGTGGCTAAAGTGTTTTCTCTGCCTACATCCCCCAGAATGCTGTGCGGTTCTGGCTCAGAGTTCAGAGTTTGGACAGCTTGTTATTAGCATAAGCTTACACTTTTTCTGTTGTAAAAAGTAACACATTTAATGTAAAACATTAAAACACTTGGCTCTGAATTTAATTTCACCAAAACCATTTTCAGAAAGATAAACCCACAGTTGGTTTTTAAACCAGCGTTTTGGAAAAAGTGAACATGATATTTAGAAATCCTGTCCATTATCCCAGAAGAAACATTAAGAAAAGACCTGAATGAGAAGTTGATGACAGGAATACTGTTGTTGTTTTTTGTTCAGGAAACATCTGATATCTGTAATTGCAAAGAAAAGTTTCTGTTACCAAACTAAAGTTTTGTTTTTCTGATTTATTTATGTCATGAAATAAAATACAATACAAACTATTTACTTAAAAATCGCACAATTTGAATTTCTAGATTTCTGTTTTCCGTCACTCACAGTTGAAATAACCGACGATAAAAATTAAGTACTTCTATATTCTTTGTAAGCGGTTAAACCTGCAAAATCGGCAGCATATTAAGTACTTGTTTTTCCCACTGTGTATGACATCGAATGGTTGTTAATATGGTCCTGTGACCCAAAACCTGTATTTCAATGGCATGTTTTCTTTTCTTGCCCATTTTGAAGAGTGGCTAAGAGAAATTGCCTTGTGTCAGGTCATAGTTCTAGCCCAGGTAAACGGAAAGTTACTCATGAAACAAAAATCCTAGAACTATGGTCAGCTTAAAAAAAGTCAAGAGCAAAAAAAGTTAAATTTATTTGATGGGAATTGATGACTTCTTAATATGAGATTATCCTTTAAATGAAAACTAGGACAATTAACTTAAAAAATAAGCTTATTTGTTCTTTTGGAGGCAAACTATGCTTCTAAAGTCACTAATAATTTCTTGTTTGCTACCTTAAATTTGATTTAAAGCTTGTCCGTTGTGTCTTATAGGCCGGTCGATCTGAACCCAGACTGCAGGAGGGCGACCTGGTCCTGCTCATCAACGGTCGGGACATTTCCGAACACACACACGACCAGGTGGTCATGTACATCCGAGCCAGCCGAGAGTCTCACTCCAGGCAGCTGGCTCTGCTCATAAGACGTAAAGGTGTGTACCCGTAAGAGGAAAGTGCTGAGACGGAAGGAGAAATGCAAATGACTGCTGCTCACAGCCCTGGACTGTCCTCGTGATCCAGGTTCGGGCCGGGTCATGCCTCAACTGCAGCTGTCATTCGCCGCCCTCTCGCTCACCATCCCACCACAGGAGAACAAGCCTCAGTCACCGGGTCAGCTGGAGCGGGTCACCACGTTGGAGGAGTCCATGAAGCAGCTGGAGAGAGGGATACAGTCTGGCACGCTGTCCTTCCATTTTGAGGTATTTTGTTTGACATGTAGAAGTGTTTTCAGTAGACATGCACTGGTTCCATTTGTTGTGGCTAAGATCTACATCTCATCCCTTATATTCTTACATATTAAGACCTATTATTCTTCCTGGAACATATTACGATATGTCTATGGGCTACAAAACATGTTGATCACATTTTTTGCACAAAATCATTCTTAAATCATCTCAGTCTGGTCAGGTCTGCCTATTTGAGCTACTTTAAGGGCATCTTGTCACTTGAAATCCAAATAAGCTGCTGCTGGACATGTCCCACAACTCAACGTTTACACTAACACATGAAAATGGCTTCAAACTTACCCACAACTGTGTGCCATACATCTTTGAAAAGCAAAAGCAGAGCTTCCTGCACAACCAACAAGAATGCAGCAAGTGGTTTCTGAATATTAATTCAATAATAGCAGCAGATCTTGTACAGCACATGCAACAGTAAAATCAGCTGAACAAAGGTGCTGAAACTTCTTGGGTTGCTAGGTGACAGGCTGAGCTTGACTGGGGTTGCTAGGTTACGGTGCAGAGCCCTTCAGTTGTGACTTAAGAATTTTCCACACACCAAAAATCATTAACCTATTGCCAAAAAATGCCTGGGTGTTTTATTTTAAATAACTTTAGACACAAATCGAAGTTAAGAAAAGGTTCAAAAAGTGAATTTCTAAATGCAGCTTATGTTCCTTTCTCAAAAGAGCTAAAAAGAGAGAACTTTACTCTTATCAGCCTTCCTGTTATCTGATGAGAGGCTCTCTCTCTCTCTCAGCCATCATGTCTACAGTCTTGATACGTCGTACAAAAGCTTCTTTTTAGATCGCTCCTTGCATCTCTGGGCTTAATCTGACTTCATTTTGAACATCTCAGGCATGCCAGGGCCAATCAAACCTAAAATCAGCTGATTTCTCTGAGCATCTCTACGTTTAAAATGCTGCTTTTAGGACAGATGTTGGCCCTAATCTTCAGCTGAATCCTGTTCATAAAAGCAGCGATGACCTTGAATTTTTCTAATTCCTGTGTGTGTATGTTTCTGTGTGTATTTACATGCATGTTTGCGTGCGTTTGCATGCTTGTAATTCCTAGAATTTATACAAGAGGAAGCCTGGTCTGTCCCTAAGCTGTGCACGGCAATCCGAGAACCAGGAAAAGAACCGCTACAGAGACGTTTTGCCTTGTAAGTGCTCCTTGCTGCGTCTGCGTGCCTGTTTGCTTTCGCTCGTCCCCCTGCTGTGCCCGGATCCCGCATGTTAGGCTTTGAGAAATTTAATTTTGACAGCTCTGTTCTGAAACCTCACCAGCTGCTGCCCTTCTCTGCTTTCAGACGACGACACCCGAGTGGTGCTGCTGGGGAAGGAAGACTACATCAATGCCAGCCACATCACGGTGAACATCGCTCACCTGAAACTGCCTCCCGTCCTCTGTGTCTCTTTTAGTGTAAACTCATCCTGTTCATCTTGTGTGTGGGTGTTTGTGTGTCTGTGTGTGTCTCTTAGGTGGCACCCAATGAGTCTGGAGTGTGTTTACGTTACATTGCTGCTCAAGGTCCACTTCCACAGACCTGTACTCACTTTTGGCAAACTGTATGGGAGCAGCAGACGCACACCATCATCATGCTTACGACTCTAACAGAGAGGGGACGGGTACAACGTGCTTTGTTTTTGTTTTTATAAGCCACCGTTTTGCAGAAACGTCTTAAAATTATGCAACTGAACATCAGCAACACGTTAACATAGCAATTAGTGCAGCACAACTGGCAAATTATTACATGCTGTGTCAGGTTTAATTTTGATTACAGTGATTAGAGGGGGTTCAGTGGCTATGTTTGCACACAGCAATGATCCGATGGATCACACCATAAAAGAATGGCTGAAAGCGAGCGCGACCCAGATGCCGGTGAGATAAATAATCCGACGCAGAGGAGGAACAAGAGCGTGCCTCTGTCTCAGCTTTCTTGTTGCTTAGAAACCAGATGTTCTCATTAATCGATCATTGTGTCTGGATCTCGTCAAGTGTCCGGGAGTTTCCCCTCACTGCATGCGCCTACGTACATATGCATCGACGCTAAGCTCTCCACCTGTTGCCGCTGATGAATTGCTTTTGTCTGCTGGCCGCCCTGTGGATCAGAGCAGGCTTTCTGAATATGAGCTTGATTTCCTTAGAGTTGCTGCAGCGGCAAACTGTTTCCTGTTACTCATGTCCAGAGTTGGACAGTAACTGGTTACATTT